TACAATTGGGCACAGCCACTCAGGCATTAAGCCAAGCAATCACTAAGTGAAACAACTGTACTTACTTAAGCTTTCCTTTGCTTTAAAACCTGTGAAAGTCATAAAAACAAGGATTGGTTGTAAAATTATTTCTTCATCACAGAGTAATTGTGCACATCTGCTAAACAAGGCAGTCACCAAACAAGGATTTATTTTGTAGGTAGACATGCGTTAGATTAGTTAGTCTTGGAGATATTTGGATTTTTGCCAGAGGAAGGCAACCAGGTTTCAGATCAGGTATTCTGGATTTCAACTTTCATCAGGTCTAACCAGTATTACCTATGACAAGGAACTATAGGTGAGCAACCTTTCTGCTACAGTTTTCAGAGAACTGAAAGTAAGTGGAAAACTGAGGTGAATTTAAAAACTATAATAAAAGATGCTCCTTTTCTCCAATGTGTTGAGGAGAATCCAAATAATGGGTTAACTCTGCCTTTCTGCTCATTAGACTGAATCTGTCAATCTTTTGTAGCCACGCCTCTCACATCTGTGTTCTCAGTTTTGACTCAGTCTTTAGCTCGAATAGATGCTTATAGATTAAATCCAACTTTCAAACCTAAAAGAGCAAAAGGCACAGAACTTCCCTTCCTTGGATTCTCACTTGGGCAACAGGAAGGCAATCAGCTTTGTCCAATGTTGACAGGGAAAGCGAACTGACAGGCAGCCCCCCCCCCCCCCCCCCCAGTCTGATCAGCATGGCTGACATTATCCGTCTCAGTCCAGCAGAGCCGAGGTCCCTTGAAACTTCTCATGGTCTGCGGAGGGGACTGGAGTCACTGCCTGGTCTCCAGTGCATACTTATTGGTGGCAATCAATCAGCCATGGCAGTGTTTCCACTCAAAACTAGTCTGCCTTCTTTGAAGGGCTGGATGCAGCAAAATGAGTCTTCTGCAGCAACAGACAACTGTGAAGAAACTGTAAGTGGGGAAGAATTGGGTTTGTCAGCCAAGCCCCAGGCTCCACTTTTCAATGCCAAAATTGGCTATCACAGGAACAGCTGCCCAAATCAGGGCAAAAGCCCTTTCCTCCAAAAAGGCCACTAAGGCCAAGGAGAAAGACGCACAGAGACATCAAAAGACCCTAGTCATGGAAATTGCTAAGGCAGAAAGGGAGGCAGAGTGATGTAGGCAAATGAATTCCCCCATGGGTGAAACTGCCTTTTCCTGTGCTTTTCAGCCTCAACCGTTGCAGCCTGAGTGAGGCCAGGCAAATAAATAGCTTGAGCTCCCAGTCTTCGTCACCAGATGGCGCTCAGAAGCAACCCTCTCAGCCAGTTTTCAATGACAGACAGCAATGAGATGTTCCTTACTCCCCTTTCCAATCTGCTCCCAGCAGAAGGGCATTGGGAACCAGCTCCCAAAAGGATAAAATCTACCCCAGAGCCTACCTTTACCCATACAGTAGCAGAACTCCATCCAAGGGAAAATCAGGAACCAGAAAGCTCCACTCAAATGAGGCTCTTGACCTCAGAGGCTAATGTTTAGGGGATTGCTGCAGGCATGCAGCAAAACCATCAGGCAGCCTCTGCAGTGTCTGATAACATCCTGCACCAAGGGCAGCATTCTGCACCCCAGATTCCAAAAAGAATTGTCAGTCCTCCAAAGGTCTCATTCCCTTACCCCCTCCATACAGAGCCAAGGATCTCTCTAGGATGATGAGGAACACAGGGAATTGACGCTATCTGAGGATGAAGGGGTGGCTTCAGACACCCCAGCCATCACAGGGCTCTTTCACCCTGCCTCATTTAAGAAACTTTTATACAAGGCCAGGACCACAGCTCACATAGGAGTGGACCCAGCCACATCTGATTCAGCATTGGGCTTGTCTGACCCAAATTATTTACTGTTTTCAGAGTCTGCCACAAATAACGAGATTCTCTCCCCAAAATTATTCCTGGATGTTGTCCAGCGACAATGGGTGTCCAATGCTATCTGGATGACATATTAATCCAATCTTCCTCTCACCTCTGGGCAACAGAGGATCTATGCTTCACAATCCGGGTCCTCCAGGATCACGGATTCTCAATCAACTACAAGAGCCACCTTGCCCCTATCAACTGGCTACTACATCTAGGAGCATACATAGACACCACATTGTGCGTAGTCTCCCTGTTCCAGGAACACTAGGACAGCATCAGAACTTTGTCAACTCAGATCCAATCGGATCATACAGTGCCCCTGATCCTTCTCTCGCAGCTCCTGGGCAAGATGGTGTCATGCATCCACACTGTTCTCAGGGTACATCTGCATGCCAGGATATTAAAGTGGTTCCTCCTGCCTTACCAGAGATTCAGCAGAAGCAACTCAACCACCAAAGTCTGGTCCCACCAGAAGTACATCACTCCTTCCAGTGGTGGGTGTCCCAGGCCACAGCCAAGGGATGTGCGCCTTCAAGGAACCGAACCGTCTCACCAGCATCATGGATGCCTTTGTTCAGCTGGGATGCCCACTTGCAGACCCAGATGACACAGGGGCAGTGATCTCAGGAGGACTTATGGAACTGGCTAGAATTCAAAGCAGCCCACTTAGTCCCCAGACAGTTCCAGGATACAATCTCTGGTCACCATGTGCCATACTAACAGACAACATAGCCACCAAGGCCCATATCATCCGCCAAGGGGGCACCCACTCCAGGTCCCTCATGCGAGATGCTGGGCATTTGGGGCTCTGGGTGGAATGACATTTCCTATTCCTGAGAGCAGAGCATATCTTGGGAATAGGTAGTCACATTGACCACTCAGAGTAGCGCCTGCACCTCCACCTGTTCAAGGGACTGTTCAAATGTTTCACTTCTCTGATCCCAGACCTGTTTACCACTCCATCGAACAGCCAAGTACCCAGGTTTTATACCAGGTTTACAACATCGGGGAAGGAAGGGATCAATGCACTTCGCATTCCACGGACCCAAGGGCTACTATATGCCTTTCTTCTGCTTCCCCTCATCCCAGGGGTAATTGGGAAGGTACTGGCGGAGAGAGGGAAGATCCCATTCCTGGCTCCTCACTGGCCCAGAAGACCATGGTTCACCAATGTGGTAAACTAATCAGTGTCCAGATCCCACCAGAGAAAATCTCCCATAGTCAGGGAGCTCTTCTCCATCCAGAACCCCAATGGCTCCAGATAACCATTTGGCAATTGAGCAGGGAGAGCTTTGTGGCTAGACAACTTCTCCAGCATAGTGATACAGACCATCCAAGACTCTAGGTCATCTACCAACTGGATTTATGACTCCACCTGGAAAACCTTCTGCACCTGGTGCTCCAAAATCTCTATTGATTCCTTCTCAGAATTGGTGGCCCAGATCTTGGACTTCTTGCAGGACAAGGGCCTTTCACCCAATATGATACACAGGCAAGTGGCAGCCTTGTCCTCCATGTTATCTTGTGGGGATCTGGAGTCCCTTGCACAACACCCTATTGCGCGCAGCTTCATCAGAGGTGCAACTAATTTAAGACCTCTGACGATATAACGATATCCCACCTGGGAACTGCCCAAAGTCCTACAGGCTCTCTCCTCTGTGCCTTTCAAACCATTGCGCTCTGCCAGCCTTTGTTTCCTCACCTGCAAGGTAACCTTTCTTGTGGTCATCACTTCGGTGATGCGCATCTCTGAATTGGCATCCCTCTCAATAAGGCCTGTGTGTCTTTCATCCTAAGAGTGTTTCTACGATTAGATCCTTTGTTCCTTCCCAAGGTTAATTCCTTATTTCACAGGGCTTAGGAACTAATTTTACCAGAATTCTGTCCTGCCCCATTCTGCGCCCTAGAGAGGAAATGGCACACCTTGGACGTTAGGAGGACTTTCCGTATCTATATTAAGAGGATAGCTCTTTCGGAAATCAGAGTCCCTATTTGTATCCCCGACATTGGGTAATAAGGCCATAGCATCAATGATAGGCTAATGGATACGGGCATGCATCAACAAATCATGAGCTTCAGGCTCTCCCATTGCCTCAATGAGTGATAGCCCACTCCACTAGAAGCACAGCCACCACAGCAGCATGGGATAGAGGCATCTATCAAGATTTGCAGAGCAGCAACATGGTCCTCCCCATCGCCGTTTATTAGGCATTATAAACTGGACACCTTTGGTTCCGCTGAAGTGGTCTTTGGCAGACAAGTTCTTCAGAAGGTGTACACAGACTTGGGAACTCTGGACCAGGCTGCTACCCACCCTTAGGGCGAGCCGGCTTTGGTATGTCCTATTCCTTAGATTCTCCTCAGCACACTGGAGAAGGGCCGTTGGTCTTATCTGATATGCTCCTTCTTGGTGTGCTGAGAGAGAATCCAACCCTATTCTGTTGACCGTCTGGTCCAGAGTCCAGGAATGGCCAAGCCAAGGCAGGAAACATTTTCAGGTCAATCATTACGCCTTCCGTCAAAACTGGGAAAGCAGACGTGAGAGGCGTGGCTACAAAAGATTGACAGACTCAGTCTAATGAGCAGAAAGGCAGAGTTAACCTATTCCTTGGATTCTCCTCAGCACACTGGAGAAGGAGTGTGTCAGGTAAGACCAATGCCCCTTCCCTCCCAGAACTGAAAGTGGGAATGCATATAGTAGATATAGTGGGATTTTAAATCTCCTCCTCCTCCAATGTGAACCCTTTTCGCACCGACCAGACGCCAAGCACATCCCTCAGGATTGAGGGGTCAGCATCAAATGCATTTCCTCCAAGTCGGGCAGAACAGTATAATCAGCAATAAATGGCTCACGAATGTTTCTTAAAGGGATGAGGATAAGCAAACTGTTGTTCAGGGAAGTCTAGCCGCTATTGCAAATTTTCTTGTGCAGCAGCCTTATAATATAAATTAATTAACGGCTCCCCTGTTTAAAATTACATTACAATAAAAACATAGAACCAAAACCTTGTTTTAAACACCCACTTCCAAATCACAGATGAATGGGCAGGCATTGCCACCTAGTGGCTGAATAGAGCCAAAATACTCACATGACCAGTCTTGCTCCATTGCACATTTTATTTTGATTTTTCACTGGTCACAGGCAATTTCTGAATCCTTTGGCACTCCTCTTCAAGCAAAAGGCACTTTGGCCTCCGGTTACTTTTTCTAATTTTCCCACAGGCAGAAAATTGCTCAAGTGTTCACACTCAACATGTAAGGAGTTCTTTTAAGCGTTGTAAGAGTTGCTGAACTGAATGCCCTGAAAGGCTTCAGCAGTGAGACAATTTAAGGAGCATCAAAATCTCCTGAGGTCACCTGTCTCTGCAAACGATCAACATTTCTTGACATGATTATCCAGGCACTTTGTCATCTTCAGACAGACATCCCTTAATTTAAGCCTCCCTACAGTTAAAAGAAAGAAAATGGCCGAACACCAAAAAATGAGAATTTTAAACTATAGGAACAGCCTGTCTTTGAATACAGATGGATCTGGCTGTTCCAGAAATGGGGCATAGCCATAGAAGCCCCAACAGAGTAGATAGAAAAGACAGAAAAATTCCTCCAGGACTTTGAGTGACAAATGATTCAGAAAAAATAGAACACTGACCAAGATGGAATTTTGTGGCAAGATGAGCCTTATATTACATATATATATATATAAAAACTGTTGCCCCACTCTCCAGTGTGTGTATCGTTATTTTTTTTTAAAAAAGGACCTGATGTGGAGAAAAGGAGAAACGCTATTTAATTTCCCTCCAGATCTGGTTTGCATTTCATTTTGAAATTTCTCAAACAGCTTTTGCAGTTTGCTAGGAATAGTTTGTGCCATTAAAATATCACAAATTAATCCAAAAAGATTAATTAAAATATTTTTAAGTAATTCCCCGTGATTTTCCTCCTCTAAGCTGGAAGCTAATTCTGATGACAATAAATCTGGTGCCGGTTGTGTTCTCAAGATTTTTGGAGCAACTTAATTATAAGAAATGATGTGACTGACCATGTCCATGTCAAGAAAGAATAAGGATTACTGTGATGGAATATATAATACAAAAGACAGTTGACCTCAGCACCACATATTATTGATTTTTTTAAAAGTCATTGCAGTACAGAATCCATTTTCTACTTTTTTCATGACTGACAAGAAAGTAAGGAGCATAGTGCTAAACTCCTGATGGCTTGCTGAAAAAACAGAGAGCTTCTTGGTGAATCAGCATTATAAGACCACTTGTCTGCACATCTGGATTTCAAGTCAACAGCAGCATAAAAATGGATTGTGGTTTGCCAGACCTACTGCTGCCATTTATTTTCCAAAGTGGCTTGTGAAGTCCTTTCAATGCAGTCTATTGGACCAGCCAAAACCCACAAAACCACTTTTGTAAAAATGAAAAAAGAAACCGAATGAAATAAATAAAACTTTCCCTGCTCTCTTCAGAGAAGTGTAGGAAGAACTGAAGAAGGCAAATGAAAGGTCCGAAAATAATCCCAGGGAGACAAGAGGCGTGTCTCGATACATTCAAGCAAAAAAAAAAAAAAAAAAGGCAATCAGGTTATCACACTATGGCAACAGAATTCTGAAAGGGAAGCTTTTGAGATGTCAAAACAGAATAGTAGAGAGGAAATTGCCACCAATCATCAGAGCAAAGTGGGCTTAGAACATCAAACTCCTCAGTACTAGATATCAAAGCAATGGGGTATCTTTTATAGATGGCAGTCCATGGCTTTTTCCAAGTTATCCTCTGCCACAGGTGTTAATCTATTTTAAGAATCTCAGAGTTGGCCTTCAGGAGATAAAGACTGTCATCAACCAGGAAACTGTAAAGAAAAAAGAAGAAAGTTACTAGGACAAATGATTAGTAATGGATTAAGGCTAATTTTAAATTTAGGACACAGATGAACGTATTTTTTTTCAGGCTATGAGCTGCAATCACTGTTCAAAATCATGATAGGAGAGAGTGAAAAAAAATAAGCAGGGCCTAAATTAGTTGTGAGAAGTAAGAATTTCACATTAGGCTATGCGATAATGATAATCTATCACTAATATTATTTCTTAGATACTTCCCTGAACCAATTAAATGTGAAAATCTCTCTATTTCAAATTTTAGCCTGCTGAAATCAAAGCTATTCTCAGCAGCCTACAGGATATACATATAGTCCTTTTCTTACTAAATACAATTGAGATCGAAACCTCCATTGCTAAGCAATATGGCTATTAAGTGAGACACATCAGATGTTACGACTGTTTTCGCAAATCACCATGTTCATTAGGCAAATTTGGTTTTGCCCATTGACTTTGCTTGTTGGAAGGTTACAAGTGTCCACCAAATGACCCCTGGATGCTGCAACCATTGTAAATGAAAGCTGGTTGCCAAGAGCCCAAATTATGACCATGTGACTTTGAGGATGCTGCAACATTCGTAAGTGCAAAAACTGGTCATAAGTAACTTTTCTCAACACTGTCATAACTTTGAATGATAAACATTAAACAAATGGTTGTAAATTGAGGACTACTTGCATAAGCAAGAATCCATAATCAGGTTAAAACCAATCCCTATTATCATGTAAAATCCTCCACAAAAACTTTACTCACCTCCAGAATTTAAAAATAAAAGAAGGCAGAAAACAAGATGGAATCAAACCGAAACTTTTTTTAAAAGGCACTTTGAAAAAAAATCATTTTTAAAAAACGTTTTCCAGGAAATCAGTAAGAAAAGGACCAGCATGATTACATTGGGGGGCTGTTCCCAAACTCTGGTGCTGTTGCACAAAGGCAGCTCCTTCCTTCTTCAGCCACCCAAATCTCTAAAACATGTAGAATTAGGAGCCGTTTCTCCCTAGACCTTCTAATAGTTTGAGCTAATGGTGACTAAGACAAGTGATCCTGTATATATTCAGGTGCCAAGCTATATATGTCTCTATGTGTTCCCAAAACCAAGTAATAAGCCACAAATGACATGTACCAGCTAACTTAGGCCCACCCCTCTAGCCACAGCACCATTCTACACATTGGGGGCAATTGGGCTGATATTTCCTCTCCGTTATCTCAGACTGAAATTGCCTACTGAGCAAGGAATAAACCCAACCCCTATAAACAATTCAATGAATGTTCTCAGAAATAAATGATTATTCAAAAAATGGAGTCTATTGGAATATCTATTATTTGGGAGAAGGTGATATTTTATTGATTAGCGTTATGACCAGAAAAAAGGCAGTTAAGAGTAAAGGAAAAGGGGAGAAATAAAGGATGGTATTAAAAACAAAACCAGGACGCTCTTCCCATCTAACCCAGAAACATGTCACCCAAGATAGACCAATATTGTCTTTGTCCCACATTGGACCTGAAAAATGTCTGGAAAAGGGGTGGGCAAACTTTTTGGCTCAGGGGCCTCATTGACTTTTAAAATTTGACAGACGGGCCTCCACCTGGTGTCGAAATGCCTGTCATTACAAGTCAAAATCAAATGAATGCAATCATTCAATCATTCACATCAAACCTTAATTCTGTACCAATCTTCGGCGGGCCGGATTAAAAAGACCAACGGGCCGGATGTGGCCCCCGGGCCGTAGTTTTCACTATGTTTGGAGTGTTGTCAAGCTGGTCAGCCACCATTATCTTAACTGCCTGATCCCCAAATATTAAATCATTCTTGTATTTCTTTTGCAAAAGTACTTTCCGAGGCCCGCCAGCAGAAGCATACCTAGAAAGAAAGAAGGAAGAAGGAAGAAGCATGGAAAATAGGCTGACCTGTAGAAAAGGATATTGACAGGGATAGTACTGATATGCCAGATGGCATGGGCATCGAAGACCCAAAACAGGGGTGGAAAATCCAGGAGTTCCAAGAGAGCCAAGATCTGGAGAAGCAGGACAACGACCACACACTTCCAGACATAGGGCAGGCGTTGCTGGTTCTGCCTACACCAACCCAGCCACCAGAAGAGATTGAGAAGGCCTGCAAGGTACAAAACACTTCATGTTAGTATCACTTTTACTACTCACTGATCACAACAGAAAGAAGCAGCTTTTGTTGCTACAGATACTGGGGGGTTCCAATACTACCAAAGCCCTGACTGCATTGCTCCCTTCTCAGCACTAAATGCTAAGAACATCCGAAGTTCAAAGTGTCAAAGTATGAATCCTATTCATCCATAACAGAAAGGCACAGAGAGGAAAAAGAAAAGAAAAGAAAAAAGAAAAGGATTGTTTGGGAAAAGGCAAACAGGAGAGAAAAAAGTCTCATAAGGTAGTAAGAATGTTCAACATTTAGAAAAGGAACACTGAAACAAATTAGCTAAAGCTATTTTACATAAATAAAATAAAAACATTGATTCCTCAAGTCTCACCAATTGCCACATTGGCAGCCATATTGTAACCATAATCAAAGCGCACAAGGGTCAAATAGGAAACATGGCAGGCCAGAAAAAGGAGCAGGAAACCCCCAAAGGCAGTGGCAAAAGCCGGACGTTTCAGCCCTAGAGTTCTGCAAATAAAACACATACGAAGTTGAAGATATTTCAAAGAACAGAACTGCCTCATTTCCCTCACACCATATTTTGTTCTGTCTCACTTTTCTTCTTTCCCAAAACATGAAAGAATACAAACTCACACAAACACAGGCAGGCAAGCTGGCTCGGACTTCACAGAGTTAATTTTTTGGAACTGATAATATCCTTGGCATTCCAACACCCTCTGCCTGCCAAGTCCGAACTGATAACAAATAAAAATCTACTCACAGAAAATTATAAGGCAGTCCACAAAAATCATTCATGAAGAAAATCTGAAGTAAGATTAAACTTTGTCCCGTACAAAGTTCCAGCCGAAAACACACCCACTTTTATCCCTGTGGGGTGTGGCTCAATGACTCAGCTCACTCTCTGACCCTCCCACGCCTCCTATGTTGCTGCTCACGTTTCTCCCTACGACGCTGCTTAGGATCAAGCCAACACTCTTCCTCTTTACTCCCTGTCAGGGGCTGCTCCGATATGCCTTCTTCCTGATTAATCTCAGGCTGTTCCTCTCGGTTGTCTGATGAAACCTGAGGCATTATCAGGAAGGAAGGCATTGCCAGAGAGGAAGGTCCTGGGAGGAAGGCATTCCTAGTTCCTCCTCCTCATCTTCCAGGTCTTCTTCCTCTGACAGCATAGGCTCGGGAATCGGGGCCACAACAATTTTTTATCCCTAGCTTCAACTAAACAGAAAAAGAAATATTTTTCTCAATAAATACAGATTACTTACAGCTATAGAAGAAAATCACACATTAATTCAAGTAAGGAATTATATCCTAGCCTTTAACAACTTTCCATCCCGAAGATGCCACCATCCCTTTTTCTTTCAGGAAAAGGATACAATTTTTTCCCTAACTAACCCCTCAAAGTTTGAGATTTGGGGGTAACTATTTAGGAAAGACTTTTGGAAAACCAATATAGGGAGTAATTGTGGGGATTAGAAATTATCAAGACTGCAACCTGATGTTTTTTAAGAAAGCCACTGACTATTCCAGTGAACCTTGGTGCAGATTTATTAAGAAGATAACTGGCCAGTTAGGGATTTCTGTATTTTGTTAGTTATTCCTCAAGTCCTGGATTGATTGATTGATTGATTAATGTTCTTAGACTGAAGAATACAAGCCACTCAGAATCTGGACTGGAACAGGAAACAGATCGCAAAAAATAACCTATGGCTAGAGCTTCCTTATTGATTGCGTATAAATATATGAACTTTTATTAATAAACCATTTCTTATCATGTCTCACCATTTCCTATAGATAGACTATATGCTATTGTAAAGTTTTGTTAAGTGGCTGCCTTGAGCAGATAAATTACATTTTTCTTTCTCTAAATGGTTTTCTTTTACCCAAACTGACCCCCTTCAAATGTTTTGGAACTTCCTCTTCTAAGAACTCTAGTCAACATAAGAATATATGATTAAGAATATGGGAAGCTGTGCTCCCAAAATACCAAAAGGACATGAACTTAGGAAGGATGCGCTAAAGAAACACAAGGGAAATTCACAATTGGACATAACAAAATATATGACCTGTACCGGTTGAACTAATTTTTACATTAATTAATCAAATTCTACACCACTTTCTATGTAATTAGACATACTACTGTAATGTAATAACTGTAATGAAAATGAAGACAAAACCACTGAAAGGTTAGGTGAACTTTGGGCCTATGTAGCAACTTACCTGACACAACACAAGTACACAGAGTAAAGGATGACTGCTGATGCACAGAAATAGTCCATTTTCTATGAGAGGAGAAATTGAATTAGAGATGTGGGCCAGATCTTGTCCAATATGTATGCCACCTGAAAAAAACCCTCTATGATATCACAATACAAAAGCTCACCTCAGTCAGATTTGTTTCTCGGGTATGAAAAATCATGGACCAAAACCAGGCATTTAAAGACACCTGAAGGGAAAGTGCAAGAAAGAACTGGTCTGAGCATACCACAAGATTCAATCAACAAAGCTGCAGTTTTGGCACAGAGGAAATGTAGGAAACAGTCCACTCTTTTAAGTGCCTATGTGGCTATCAAGTGTTATTTGATTATATTAGGCGTGTCCAATCTTGGCAACTTTATGACTTGTGAACTTCAACTCCCCAGCCAGTCTCACATAATATAACTGGTAAATGATCTACTGAAAAAAAAGCCAGTCCAAGTAAACAAACTGAGTTAAATGGACAAAGCCAGTATTGTCTGTAAGTTTTAAAGTTGCCAAGGTTGGACAGCCCTGGATTACATCTACAAGCCTGAATAGTCTATTGATCCAAAAATGAAGACAACTGAAAAGGAAACCTGAACCTCAAACCCCCTTTTCTTCCTTGCCTAAACACCAATGTTTGAAAAAGAGTTTAACAAACTGAATGTCTTCTTGTCCAAATTTCTTTTTTCCATTTAGCTTGTTGGCTTAGAGTCTTAGGCAGATTATGCTCTCTGAATCTCAGCTCCTCACAAGCATAATAAAACTTTATTGATAACAATAAAACTGTCACTCAAGTTTGCTAAATGAAAATAAATACAGCTAATTTCAAATGGAGCACAAGGGGATCCATCTAAAGGCCAAAGTTTGTCTACTCTTGTCCTGAGAGCTCTTAGGTGGCTGGGCCTATGATGTCTCAAACTTCTCAAGAGGTTGGGACAGTATTTAGGGAAGAAAGGCTGAGGGCTGTTTACATGATAACCCTAAAAAAAGATTTCATGTGCTTTCTTTCACCCATCACTTTCTGATTGATTTAGCAGCACTATTTCTATAATCTTTGAGAGTGTTACAGATTACAAGTTTAAATGTAGTGATGGGAGACATTGGCTAATTCATGAATATTTTTAAGATATCATCATTTAACACTATTGATAGAATGCTTGAATCTGTCCCTCATAATAGACATCCTCTTTCTCACTTCCTTCAAATGACATTTCTTAAAATAATTTTTTCAGCGTGTCTTAAAACTGTTAGCCTCCTTTTGCAAATTGCCTGAGTTCACAGAACACGCTGAGGCAGAAGTACAAAATCTTAAGTATCCCCCTACTTCCCTAATCTGTTAGATCAATATTCCGCCTTTTCTCCAGGAAGTAAAAGACCTTCTACTGGATTCTTCTTTGTTTTATCCCACCAAAAAAAAAAAACCTTGTGAGAAAGCATGGGTGGGATTGTGTGAATGGCAAAAAATTGTTCCATGTATCAGGATGGATGTGAACCCATGTCTTCCCAGTTATATTGTTATGTTCAAGTGTATTATGGTCATCCTTTCCAAAAACTTGACCTCTACACACACTGTCTCTATTTAGGCACAGCCCTAAAAGTTCTCTAAATTTCTACCCAAATTGTCACTTTTGTGATAAAAGCAAAAAAGTGTGTTGAAAAATAGCGATTTTAATTATGCTGGAATTGAGCCAAATCATATTTCCTATTTTCACACCTTACTTTTTGCAGTGCTCCTTCCAGACTCAACAATGGACAGGTGCAACCATTAGTTCAGAATACTATGAATGTCTGCATTAAACCATATTTATAGATGATGTTGATGACAGGACTCAGCCAATATTTTAACTCAAACAAGTCACAACTTGGTTTAGGATGTTATGTGAGCCCAGCTTGCTTGTACAATAGTTTTCTTTCACTTGATAAAGAAGATAAGGAAGCTTGGATTCTTGTTAAAAATGACTTACCCGAGAAAAGGCAATGCAGGTGTGGTACATGGGAGAAGAATGGGGAACAGTGGCTTTATATTTGTTCAGCATCACCAAATTGGCAAGACCATTAAGGAATGAAGCAAAGGCAGAAGCAGGCTCCTGAAAAAACAGGAAACGAGAAAAGGGCCACTACGGGCAAGGCAGGGAGAGGAAAGAGGAGAAGACGATGAAGAATGTTATCAAATGGAAATGAGATTATCTGCACATTTTCCTACGATTGCTTAAACCAAATCCTAAATTAGGTGGAGAAACTGCAGTTCAGATGTTGTTTTTTTTCCAAATGCCCCAGAAATAAGGAGATCTGCCTTTTTTCTCTTTTGACCAACGACTACTTCGTTTGAAATTGCATTGCATAGCTAATTTCTGAAATAAATAAATACTTGGGCCTTAGGTATGGGTGCTGACTTCAAGGGGAGTGAGCTGTGTTTATTCTGTCTTTTGATTTACTTGCTGAATATAAAGACAGACAGAATAACTCTACAAATTCTTCCATACAAAGTTTCTTTTATTGGATTATATTAGGTATCCTCATCTAATGTCCAATTCTTTCCATAGTTGAAATCGTAGTGTAAAATGATAGTAATCTTTTCCCCTATTTCATCCCATAGTAGCAGAGCCAAAGGAGAAGCGCTAGCCCGAAGCTAGGGTCCGAGCAAGAGTGAAGAAACCTCTCCCAACCCACCAAGGATCAATTCAGTTACCAATCAGGATTACAGATGTGGCCACATGACATGAGCTATGTTTCCCTGGATACCTTAACTACAGTTACCATGATGCATTCCCTTAAGGGGACAGCTCCCAATTCCTAACTAACTATACCTGGCTGGACAGCACAGTGTTTGTCTTTTGTTCACCTATTGCATTCCCAATCCAGCACAAACTATTTGGATAAACTACAGTAATAGAAACTTCCCTTGAAATGCAATTTCAGGCAGTGACTTGGGAAGAGAAAAAATTCTCAATCTTGACCCCAATGGACTGAAGACTGCTCAAACTCTCTTTAGGCTGCATGTATTCTGTGTACATTGTGATTGCACAATGAAATAGTTGCAGTTCACTAGTTTATCCATTCTTCTGGTGCTCAGAGGCTGGAAATGCCTAAAGGGCTGATACAGACTACAGAAAAAAATTGGCAGTCTCACCTTTTTGCTTGCTCTAGTTTCTTTTTCTAGTGTATTAAAAGGAAATATTTCCTTGCTGCCTGGTATATATAGATTTTGCTTGCTCAAGCCTCAGAGTCAAGGCCTGGATCTCACACGATATAACAAGTAAATGATCTACTGAAAAAAAGCCAATCCAAGTAAATAAACTGAGTTAAATGGACAAAGAACAAAGTCAACCCTACAGGTTAGCCATCCTGGCTTCATAAACAAGGCTTACCTTTCCATGAAACTGAGGCACTTTTGATCCCTCTTGGAGATAAAGTCCCACAGTCAGCCACATACATTCATATTTGCAATCATCTCTGCAGGTCCATCCTAGAATATAAAAGAGGGTAAACCTATTAGAGTAAGTGATACATTTGGATAATACTTGATAGCATTTATTACTGCAACAATTCTAAAGTAATGAGATGAAATTAAGATACACATTTGCATAGCATATTTTATTTCATTAAAAACAATCATTTTTAAGGTGTGGTGAATTGCCTCGTTCTGATTTTATATTGTTCTTGCCAGGATTCTGTGGCTGAAACTATTGTGTCTCATGTTCCTTGCTTTTATTTTTAAGTTTCCATCACACTTATTGTCAAAAGTGTAAGCCCAAAATCGGCTCACACTTTTGACAATAATGGAAACTAAAATCCAAACAGTATGGATTTCTCAGAAATAAATGCTTATTCAAAAATTGAGTCTATTGGGATATCTAATATTTGGGAAAAGGTGATATTTTATTATTAGCGTTATGACCAAAAAAAAGGGTTAAGGGTAAAGGAAAAGGGGAGAAATAAACATTTGTGAGAAATACTTGTATTTTGAACTCCATGGATTTTAATGCTTTTTGATGTGCACACAGCAGCACTGGGAAATAAAACAACCAAATCTGGATGCCAAGATCCAGATCACCATAAAATGGCCGCAAAGAATTAGGTAGATTTTTGTTGTCTGTGTTCAGCAAGCACTGTCCAGGGATTTAGAGCAGGGTGGTATCAGTATGCTGATTACATCTAAGTCTATTTCTCTTTAACATGAGGTAACGATGGGGGATTCTAAATGTTTGCCTGAAGTCAGTAGTAAACTAGATGAGGAACAATACACTGAAAGTGAATCTAAACTAGATGAAGAAGTTACTTGTGAGGATCACAATTTAAGAAGTGGTAGTTATCTTTATCCTGAATAGGATTGCATTTTCCCAAAAGTAGCAAATACAGCTGTGGAATATTTGGGCATCTGGGTTTCTCTTTAGCTTCAGGCAATAGCAGGGACAATTTTTATGTTACTGTAACATTTACAACTTTCTCTAACTGCATTCCTTCTCGGAAGAAAATGATTTTGAAATAGTGCTGCATATCCTGGTAATTGTCAACATTACTCTTATAATTACATTACTTGTATACATGGAGCTGCCTTTGTACCAAGTCTAAAAACTTCAGTCAGTACAAAACTCAACAGGAAGATGTCAAAGAGAATTATAGCAGTGCCAAAAGCAAATATCTCGGAATGAAATACAAAGTGATGAATAGACTTTTTAAAGCAGCGGTCGCCAACGGTGGGCTGTGAGAAAATTTTGGTGGGCCGCAGAGAAATCTCACCCACAAAGCACCCCCACAAAGCAATTAATCCAGGCTGTGCAGAAACACAAGGCTGCGCCACCCACATGGTCCACGGGAACCCTCCCCGCCCACTCACTCCTTACCCGGTAAACTTGTCTGCTAAGTTGCTATTTTTCCTTTTTCCAACCATCATCTGTTCTGCTCTGCCGGGAGATTTAGATTAGCTAGGAAGCAGAAAATGGTTGGATGTCTTGCTTTCTAGCTAAGCACAGCCAAAACTCCCTTAGGACTGAAGGTTTGCTTGCAAGCAAATTCAGTGCAAACTCACAGCAAGCAAATTTGAGAGACTGAGCTAGCCGATGGCAGATAGATAGATAGATAAATGAATGATTCTGTGAGCAACTCAATCTGCCTGCTTTGCCTGATTTGGGGTAAAAGTTGCTCTTTTTTATAAAAAATTCAATATTTACATGCATGGTGTGTTGTGAGTTAATTTTGTGAGTTTGCTTGCTAGCAAATTTTATGACTGAGCTAGCCAATGGCAGATAGATAGATTTCTGAATGAATCTGTGATTCTGTGAGCAACTCAATCTGCCTGCCTGCTTTGCCTGATTTGGGGTAAAAGATGCTCTTTTTAATAAAAAATTCAATATTTATAAGCCATGCCGAGCTAGTCACATGACCACCAAGCCACACCCACAAATTAGGCCATGCCCACAGAACAGGGTTAGTGGTCCCTGGGATCTAAAATTATGAGTTTGGTGGTCCCTGAGGTCCAAAAGGTTGGCGACCCCTGTTTTAAAGGACCCCGTCTTTCTTTATAAAGCATACACACAATACACAGTGATAACCTGAGGAGGCTCATTTACAGTCGCTATAGATCTGTTTATCAGTAATTTGGGATTCAAGACTTTTTGTATGTGTCAATTTTTTAAAAAAAAAACATCTCTTTTTGGGGCGGGAAGAAGGTTTTGAAATACCACACCAAAAATGGACAACCTGAATATAAGTATTAATGAGGTTGAGCATATTCCGCTCAGTGTAACTGCGAGGTCCTATATCAAACTATAGATTACATACTGACCGGCTGTAAATTGAAGGCATATACTGTCCCAGTACCTGAAGTTTTTTTTCTCACATAAATGATGCCATGTTTCAACAATTTGGTGGCCTAGACATTGGTGTCTGAATATAGACTTTTTTAAAACGTTCATATTTTACTGTGCTTTTAAGCTATGTGAAATGTTAATATATATTGCAAGTCCCTGTATCAAGTGCCATATGCTAAATAAATAAAACAAAATAAAAGCTCAAAAGTGTGCCTAATGCATATGGTATATCCATGAAACTCATATTTTTATATGTATCCCTCCAAGTAGCTAATGTTATATTTTCTATATGCTTGTCACCTCTAATTTTAATTAATGACTTTGTTTCACTTTGGAACAGCACACTGCAAGATAACTGAAATACTGTTTTTCAGCCAATGCACTCCATGATGATGGGATATGAACATGCAGTCAAGGTGCCAAGGATTTGGAAGGCAAACCAGATTTCGCTGCCATATCCAAAAATGTCTTCTTGGGAAATTGCTTGCTTTTTTTCAAGCTATGTAGATTACAGGTGGTCCTCGACTTATGACTACTACTGAGCCCAAACTTCTTTTGTTAAATGAAACATTTGTTAAGAAAGTTTTGCCCCATTTTATGACCTTTCTTGCTACAATTGTTAAGTGAATCACTGCAGCTATTAAATTAGTTACATGGTTGTTAAGTTAATCTGGTTTCCCCATTGATTTTGATTGTCAGAAGGTTGCAAAAGGATACCACATGATCCGGGGATACTGCGACTGTCATAAATATGAATCAGTTGCCAAGCGTCCAAATTTTGATCATGTGACTATGGGGATACTAAAATGATCGTAAATGTGAAAAATAGTCATAAGTTATTTTTTTCAGTGCCGTTGCAACTTTGAACAGTCACTAAAAGAAACTGTTGTAAATCAAGGACTACCTGTATTTAAGCCAAGCAACAATTCCCAAAGAGCCTTATTTCTGACAATTTCCAACAGCAGGTTTTAAGGACAAATTATATCATATCCCATCAGAACAAAACTCTGCCACTGTGGTAAGAGCTGTTGAAACATCAACTTATATTTTCCTATATAGGATTCTTTTAGAGTCCTAGTTGCAGCTAGTAACTTTCTATCTAGTTAGATTTCCAAGTCATACAGATTCATTTTATTTACTGTTGTGATTCTCTGATGAATGTGGTTTGATTTTCTAAACATAGCGAGGTTTTGCTTTGCTTTAAATAAAATGGACATACTTCAACCACCTCAGTTTTATAATGATTAAGTTTTATAATGACTTTAGTTTGCTGTGTCAGAATTTTGTTTTTAATTTTGAAATGATCAATGATCATAACAGAGTTTATTATTACTATTTTACAGCAACCTTGAGAAGATGATTAAGGATGAAAATTATAATGTGAATTTTATAATAAATAAGGATTTGAAACTTGATCTTCTCATCTATAGTCCAGCACTCTAAACATTACAATACATTTTCTTGGGATAATGGTCTGTTTTTTCAAACTGAAATCGCTGAATACATATATAAAGGATCCAATTGCATGTAAACCTTTTATACTATTCACAAAGAACCAATTAAAGAACTGTGATTTGTTTCACGTTAACACTATAACCTCAAATGAACTTAAAGCTGACAAAGGGCTAAACTGCATAGATAGGATTCTACAATGAGATATTTTACTACAGTAGTGTAAACCATAAAGAAACTTGAGAGAAATAAGTTCTATTAGGAAAAAAAACCAACTGGGAGGTATGTCTACTCAGATAAGCTTTAAAAACATTAAAGCAGGATTACAATGCTAACCCAAGTATACTTAATAATGGCTTATTATATTCCCCAGTTAGCTGGTTTAGCTCAACCCATTGTATAATAAACTAACTCGTGTAGCACATTCAGCTACAAACTGAAAAATAAAATCTTTGGGGTAAGCTTGACTCCCAGGAAGAGAGAAATTAAATACAAAGGGAAATTTCTTTTCAGCAAGATAGACGTAGTTTGCCATTGTATTCTTTGGGGATATTTTTCTGACATCCCACTTTAGTCTACAGCTTTTGGAATTCAATGGAAGTCTCCCATTCTAGTACAAGTAGTCTTCAACCATTTGCTTAGATTCAATGTTACAATAGCAGAGAAAATTTAACTTATATCCTGGCACTTATGATTATTGCAGCATTCTCACGGTTATATGATCAAAATTTCAACACTTATCAACCAGCAAGTATTTTACATAATATCCTGAAGTCATTTGATCACTATTTGTGATCTTCCCAGCCAGCTTCCAGCAAGTAAATCAATGGGGGAAATTGGAGTTGACCATGTGATTCACTTAACAATTGCAGTGATTTGTTCAATAACCATGGCAAAAAAGGTTGTAAAATAAGTAAAATGTAAAACAACTGCCTTGCTTACCAATGGAAATTCTGGTGGCAATTGTGGTCATAAACTGAAGATTACCTGTATTTCTTGTTTGGCAGTTGTTCTGCTGCTTCTGACACATTTTGCTAAAATTGTTGTCAGTAATACGAGTTCTTGTAAACTCCTGCTTGTGCTTTCTATCACTGTCAGATGAGGCAGCTAAATGATAGTAGCCTCTTTTTCAACTGATTTTACCAAGTCTCAAAATCTTTAATAATTCTTATTTTTTCATTATATATCCAGAATAATTAAACTTTAGCTTCATTATTGGAATCTTCAGAGAGTAGTTTGATTTTACTTCATCTATGGTACAGGGTATTTGCAATAGTATTCTCAAGCACCACAATTCAAAAACATCATTTGTTTCATTGTTTGACTGTCTAATAATCCAACTGCAGATATGTTTCAACTGGGACAACCATGGTTTTGAAAACACATAGTTTTGTGGCCAGAGTAATGTCCCACATTTCAATATTTTTCCTAGATATGTCTCCCAAGTAGGTATTTGCTTGTTTCGTGATTACAATACCTGCAAATCTTTGAGTCTAGGAAAGTAACATATATTATTACAGTACCTCAACTTTTTCTCTGCTTTTTGTATTGAGATGGTTGGTACTGACAAATTTTTAGTCTCTTTCATACCAAGTTGCAACCAATTTTTGCACTTTCTTCTGCCACCTTCAAGAAAATATTCCTTAAAGCTTATTTCCAGTCATCAAAATGGCATTGACATGAATGTACTTGAGGTGACTAATTCTTAAAGTAATTTTAATTCAGATTCTATTTGTTCTTATAAAACATTACTTAAAATACATTTACATATTAAACAAATAAGGCAAGAGAATATAGTGATACTTATTCCTGATTTTGAAGCATTACTCCATATTCCATTCTAACAAATGGATTGCCACATCAATTTTTAAGGGTTGCCCACAATTTGTTGTGGTCTCCATATGTGGTCTCCAATTCAACTTATCTTCAGTCAGGTGTTGCCATTGTTGGCATCCCATACAAATTGGTCAATCATATTTTTACCAACCATTATGAATTTAACATAGTTTTCTTATTTGCCTTTAATCAACTTGAAGGTTGTAATCTATTCAACCACCTAAAAATATATTCGCTTCCTTTCTTTGAAATTTTGCTATTTATTCTTCCAGGCAAGGGAACCAGAGCTCTCTTATGCATACATTATCACAGTTTGCAGACCTAAGTGGATACCTAATTGTTTCATTTGAACAATTAAATTGCCCCTAATGAATTGAATCACAGCCGAATTAAACAAATGGCGCAGTGCACGAGATCCACTTACAAAGTACCCAGGTAGGGTGGATTCCTACAACAAACACTAGGTTAAATATGATAGCCTGATTCCTGGCTCAGCACATTCCATGAATTCTGGCTACTTCTAGGGATGGTTCCTGTCAATGCGGGAACAGTTATACTCTCTTTTCCAAGATTACTATGGCGACACTAGGAAGAAGTGACGGCGGGAAAGCATCCAAACAAACTTAGCGAGATCAAGCTGGCCTCACCAAAGGAACAACATGCCTTCCAGGTGGGCGTGTCTATGCAAAACGGGCAACCCCCGAGCTTGATCCCCGGTGTGGGCGTGGCCCTGTTTCGGCGTAGGTAAATCACCGCCGGGCCGTTCCGTACCTGTGAGGCTCATGTAGAGTGGCTGGCGGGAGCGGAAGTGCCGCAGCCCGGCCTCAGAGCAGTTGCGCCTCTCGCAGTGAGCCACGCAATCACGGTAGACGGGTTCTCGGTCCCCCTGCGAGCCTTGGGAAGGGACTGGACCCACTCCCGCCGCTCCCAGGAGAAAGAGCAGCGCGGTCCGAGCCGCCATCCCGCCTCCGAGGAGCTCTGCAGCTACACTTCTGGGCTGAGTCGGAAATAATCGTTATCTTCGCAAACAAGGGAAACCACAAAGTTGTGGAAACCCGAGCTGCATTCTCAAAGTTTCCGTGAGGGGCAAGGGGTTGTGGGTAGTGTAGTTTTCCTTTTTTCAACTAAGCCATAAGAAAATGCTGAAATTGAAAAAGGCGCTCGCCTTTAAAAGCTACAACTTGCGCGGAGGAGAGTTTTCTGAAGACTTATTTGGGGCTTATACTTTGTTTTTGTGTTTTTTCTCAAAGCAAAGGGGTTTATGAAGCAGCACAGTGTGGCTAAACAAATAAAAATTATATTTTTTAAAAGTTTCTCGTTTTCCCCACCTAATTTATCATTTCAGCAGTAATGGATGAAGAGAAATTGGATGGGAAGAAAATACTGATTTAGTGAAAACATTTGGAGATCCTTAGTCTGAATCAAGCAGACGTAGGTGCTAATTAAAGACTTTTATATGTAGCAGGGCCCCTGTAAAACCCTGTCATTTCAGATGCTGATGAAGCTCCTGTTGACAACTGGAAATTAGATATGTATGTTATCTCATTCAAAGAACAAATATTACTGCTAGTTATCTAACACTTTAATTAATGCAGTATAGAATTATGAGGGCACCCTTTAGACATAATGGTGTTAGTTTTAAAATATATCCACAATTCCATTTTCAAAATATTAGAAAACAGGCATGCTACCTTGCCTTCAATATTTGTATGTTAAATAAATAGAAGTGCAAGATATGCATTTCCGATCAGTACTACAGTCGTTGCACTTCTGTCTGCCATGAAGCCACTATATAGGAACCCTACCAATATTTTTATTAAAAGGATAACACTGTTAAACTCACCTGCTCCACTCCTGTTTAGTTTCCTTTTGAATCTGGTCCCCACTTAATGAAGTAATCAACTTCTTACTCATAAGTAAGATAGTTAAGGAGAACTACTGTAGGTAACAAAAAAATTGCATCTGAGTATTCTAGGTAAATTTAAATATCAAAGGTCCCTGTTATCTCTCAGCTGGTACAAGCACTAGAGGCCTGGCAAATTATGTGGGGAATAGTTTAGCACTTCATAATAGCAGAAAAAGCACCTGCCAATCACAACACTATTGCAGAAATTAAACAAATTTAGCTGAAGCAATTCGACTATCATGGAATAAGAGACATGATACGTGAAGGATCTTTTGTTTCCCATAGTATCTGCTCAACCACTTAGATCAGTGATCTCCAATCTTTTGGCAGAGGGGTGGTTTTGTGCGAGGTGGCAGGCGAGCATCTGTGCCCCCTGCTGTATGTGCAAGTGAAGTTGCAGGTGTGCACATCCTCCCACACTATTTCTACAGCCTGGTTCTGAACAGGCTGCAGCCCGGTAGTGAGCTGCAGCCCACTGTTTGTGGACCCTGACTTAGATCTTACAGGGTTTGCATGTGCCAAGTTCCTTTAATTAAATAATGTAATCTATTGGTATCCCAGAGACATTTTCCTAAGGTCCTTAAAACAGGGAAAATCATTTAACAATCACCATGTTTAGAAATGGAAAATTTGGGCTCAAAGACTACCTGCATATTTTCTTAAATGGACCTGATTCTCTTAGGTGGAAGTTAGCAGCCAAGTCCCAAGGTATGATTTGGAATTCTTGAACAAAGCTGTTGGAAACATTCAGAAATGTCCATACAGCATAGTTTTAAAAAACTAGAAACTTTAAAAATCAAGATAGCAGCAATGATATGACTGAAGCTCGAGTTGTTTTTATATTGTATGTATTGTGTGCAACATGCATAAAAAGCAGGTGCAGCTTTGATTGTACTGTTGTGGCTTCCATCCTGAGGTGTGGTTTTTTTTATCACAACTGGCAAAAATTATTTTATTTTCTGGTTGCAACTTTCCTATCTTCAATGTAATGGTGCAAGCACATATTAGTTCTAACTTTTCAATAGTTTTACAGACATATTCTTTGCTTAGTGATAAACAAATAATAGCCAAACATGAATTAGGCTAATTGCTTTTTAACCAAACATCTTACAGATTGTGTTTAATCTTGTTTTTCAAATTTTTCTGCATAACTATTGTGCATATTAACTGGATATTATTAGCACACTTACATATTTGGTATGCTGTCTAGCCAGTGTATGGGAATTGGATAGTTAGGTAGCAATTATGAGCGGTCCCCTTAAGGGAATGCATCATGGTAAAGTAGTTAAGGTATCCTGGGAAATGTAGTCCATGTCATGTGACCATACCTGTAATTCTGATTGGTCACTAAATTGACCCTCAAGGGGTTGGGGGAAGTTTTCCTCACTCTTGGCTGAACAGTGGTAACTGTTTTACTTCTATCGCTACAACATGAGGAAAATAGGATAGAACATAAATCATCTTTTTACCTACAAGACAAATATGCAAAGGATTGGTCATTAAAGAAGAACTTTGTCGCAAATGTGAGTTATGAGGATACCTGATGAACCAATAAAAGTACTTTGTTTTGGATGTTTTGTGGAGTTTATCTATCTGCATCTGTACAGGATACAGAACAGTAAAAAGATGATTAATTTGAACTTCTGAAGCCCCAAAAGAAGTAGATGCATCTGGAGTCTCTGTCTGCAGTAAACAGATGATTAATTTGGACTCCCTCTGTGCCTCATTCTCCTTCGAAGTAATCAAAGTTTGTCTTCATCCCTTAAACAAAGAAAGTATAAAGGCAGGAAGGAGTAACCCCCCCTTTTCTCTTCAGCGAAAGACATGCTCTGTCTCATGTTACATCGCTGTTATCTAAAAAGCAGGCTCATCTTGCAAGCAGGGGGAGGGGCCAAGCATTCCATTTGTCTCTGAATCCCTCCAGTTACAAGAAGATTATCTCACTTTGTGGACTAAAAGCTAGAAATTGAATGTATTCACACCAGCTGAAGAGAATTTGCTCCTTTTTTTGTTCCTTCTTCCTCCTGAGACAAGGACTGTATCTCACTGGCCCTTCCAACCAAAAGTTTCCACAGGAAGTCAGTAATAAAAATACCTCATCACCATATAAACAGACTGCCTAGGAGGTAGAAGCCCTTTGTCTCAAAGATCTTTACCAATGTAGATTTCCCTCCCTCTCAAGATACAAAGCGTTTTTGGCTTAAAAAACCTGCAGTAACTTCTTTCTCTATTGTACAATAAACTTTAAAAAGCCCGCTTGGCTGCTGGGAGGAATTTCCGCCCCCCCTTTTTCTATCCAACCACAGAGGCTCAGGAAACCTTGTTCCATTTAAAGTTATACAGTCTGTTTGGATTACAGAGAGGGATCCTTTCTTTCTTGAGTTCTGCGAACAGCCAAAGAATGTTCTAACTTACCAGGACTGGCTTGCCTTGATCTCTTCATAACGCAAGAAGCAATCATCGCCAAACTCCCAAAAGAAATATTAGAATGATAGTTTTGTCCGATGCCTTTCTTGCCGCAAACCACAGATGAGACCTGCCTTTCTCCAAGAATTTGTCTTCCGGCAAACAGAGTCCTGCAACAGCTTCAGAAACCTTTGCCTTAGACGCAGAGTTTATCAACCTAACAGAGACCGCTACCGCAACTCTGGACCTCTCCAGCCTCTACTGCATATCTCTATAGATCGTCCACACATAACACCGAGATCGACTCCTCATCTACACACAGTTGGGGAGAGAACTCATCAGATACAACCCAATTTAGATCTTCAAATACAAGGAGAATACAGTTTTGTCCTATGCACCACACTCGTCACTCGCTGAACAGGTGCACTGAGTTTGCAGCGAAGTCACTGACCCAACAAAAAGATTTGCTAAGGGAGTACCAATATTGTTACAAGTGTTGTGAATCCAAACACCTGTCCCAGTACTGCATAGCCAAGGTGCAATGCGACTTATGCAATAGTGACCAGCACCCAACCACGCTACATCCAGACTCCGAGCTGCCACTGCAGTTATCTCATAGCTCTCCTTCGGACAAGGAACCTTAATGTAACACAGATGCACACAGGGCTCCTTGGCAGACTGCCAAATTGCAACCCAAACCGAGGATGAGTGTCAACTGCAAAGCACTGTGCGCCGACTCACCATGTACACGTTCGTGTCTTCCCATCTGTTTAGCCAAAGTGTACCCTTAAGGATGCCTTGAACATGTGGTGAAAATGTACCGTGTTTCTCCAACAATAGGGCTTCCACCAATAGGAAGCCCCAGCATGATTTATTGGCATAAAATCAAATTAAGCCCCTCCCCCCAAATTAAGCCCCATATTAAAAAATGCGAAATAGGGGGGAATGGTGGGGGGGGGGGGCTTGCCGTTAGGAAGTACTTTGTTGCATCCCCGGATATGGTGCTGCCTGCGTTGGTGGGGCAATTCACACTGTTGCTTTCCCTTTTCCCTTGCTATGGTGTTAGAGGAACACCGCAGTGTTTGGCGCAGCCACGTGCGGCCAGTCAGGACTCCTCCCTGCAAACGGAGCCCTGAGGAGACACTTGGCTTCAGGCGCTCCTGTTGCCGCCTTCCCTTTGCCTTCGAAGGTAAAGAGAATTATTTTAAAAACCTCCGCTCATCCCATCAGGACCATGCCGGAGCGGTGCGCAGAGCCGGGAAAGCGAACCGCGGGTATTTCCTGGCTCTGCCCAGCCCACACGGCTCCGGCATGGCCCTGGTGGGATGAGCAGAGGCTTTTAAAATAATTCGCTTTACCTTCAAAGGCAAAGGGAAGGTGCTGACAGAAGCGCTTGAGGCCAAGTATACCAACAACAAAAGGCAAAACCTCAAGGTGGGCTTGATGGAGGTGGCTGTGTGCCCCCCGGGCTGCTTCAATGCAAGGTCCTGACCTTGCCCAATTGCAGCATCCTGCCATTGCCGCCGCGTCCGCCGCCTCCCTCTCCGACTGCAAAACTTGTGTGCTTCGCCAAGCGCTCCGAGCGAGGCAAGCTCCTTCATACACACACACACACAGAGAGAGAAAGATGGCGGCGTGCTCTGAGAGGCTGGCTCTTTTCTCTAGCTGAGGCTGATGTCTGACTGAATCTCTATCCCGCTCCTTTATCCTCATGATGGGGTCGGCAGCGACGCT